GAGGAGGAAGGATGTATATTGAATTATTTATTAAAGTAATTAAGAGGGCATAAAATATTTAAAGGAAATAAAAAAATAAAGGAATAGCACAAACCAGAGCTATCTATCTCGCTTAATTCAGAACTTAAGATAACTAAAGCAGTGTTTCTCAACCTTGGCAACTTGAAGTCCGGACATCTTCAAGTTGCCAAGGTTGAGAAACACTGCTTTAGTTATCTTAAGTTCTGAATTAAGCGAGATAGATAGCTCTGGTTTGTGCTATTCCTTTATTTTTTTATTTCCTTTAAATATTTTATGCACTCTTAATTACTTTAATAAATAATTCAATATACATCCTTCCTCCTCCTATTTTCCCACAACAACAACCCTGTGAGGTGGGCCAAGAAAGAAGAACTGGCTCAAAGTCACCCAGCTGGCTTTCATGCTTTCTGGGAAAAGTTTTGAACCAGAAATCCGGTGAAGGTTCTTCTAAACCAATGATATGATAATTGTCTTTGTCCTGAAATATTATGAAGAACCAAAGCAATATGTGAACTCTTAAGGTTCTATTATATTCTATTATAGAATATTCTATTGCAGTGATGGCTAACCTTTTGGTCATTGCATGCTGAAAGCGCATGTATGCGTGCTCACACCCAGAATGCAATACACATGACACCCCCGTGTGCCCCACCCCGAGGCAGGTGTGTGCAACCCCCCCTCGCGCATGCGTGTGTGACCCCCCCCACTGCACCCCGTTTTGGGCCTAGCAGGCCTTTCTGAAGCCTTCTGGGACCAAAAATAGATTGGGGGGCACACCACATACCTGTGCCCCGTTTTGGGCCTAGCAGGCCTCCGTGCAGCCTCCTGAGACCAGAAATGGATCAGGGGAGGGCGCACTACACACCCTTGTGCCCCGTTTGGGCCTAGCAAGCCTCCCTGAAGCCTCCTGGGACCAAAAATGGATCGTGCAGATGAGGGCACACCACACACCCCTGTGCCCTGTTTTGGGCCTAGCAAGCATCTCTGAAGCCTCCTGGGACCAAAAACGGATTGAGGGGGGAGTCGCACCACACACCCCTGTGCCCCATTTTGGGCCTAGCAGGCCTCTGTGCAGCCTCCTGGAATCAAAAACAGAGCCCACGTGACACACCCACCGCACATGTGTGCGCGTCTCCTGCATGTGCTCCACCCCCACCCCCCCCATGCGTGGCAGACACCCAAAAATTAGCTGGTTGGTGGGAGGCGTGCGTGCATGCGTGGTGGAGCTGAACTGGGGTGACGGCTCATGTGACTGCCGAGAGGGCCACAGGTTCGCCCTCACTGTTCTATTGTTTAGTCACTGACAGCTTATCAGGAGGTGTATTTCCTAACTAAACCAGTAAATTTTCTCATTCATTTTGTTCAGGGTTTTTTTTTTGGGGGGGGGGGGGACACTTTTCAATTTTGTCTATATCTGCCACCCAGCATTTTTGAGCTATAAGTGCTGAATCCAGATTTGCCAACTTCTTATAGTCTCTTGCAATTGAAAATAGTAGTAATACTAATTTCTACTAATAATAGTTGGGAGCTGTCCATGGTACCCATAGGGACCATTCTCTGGACTTTCTTTGATGTCTGCTTTCTTGTGGGCACATCTCCTTGTTCATTGGGAATGAATGTTCTGCTTGCTGATCATCGCACAGATGTTTTTATGAAGATCTCGTCTGCTTTTTTTGAACTGCTTACAAGTAAATGACTGGAAAGGAAAGCTCAAAGAGATCCAGATGATTTCTTGCAACCTAACAGCCAATTTGGTTTGAGCCGAGGTGGTGCAGTGGTTAGAGTGTAGTACTGCAGCCACTTCAGCTGACTGTTAGCTGCAGTTCGGCGGTTCAAATCTCACTGGCTCAAGGTTGACTCAGCCTTCCATCCTTCCGAGGTGGGTAAAATGAGGACCCAGATATGCTGACTCTGTAAACCGCTTAGAGGGGGCTGAAAGCCCTATGAAGCAGTATATAAGTCTAACTGCTATTGCTATTGCTAAGCAATGCCAAGTCCTCTGTGCCATGGTGTGAGGGCCGAAGGTGGCAAAGCTGAAGGTAAAAAGCCTGGGACTATATTAGATCATTACCAAAGCATGTGGCAAGCAGCCTCGACACCCATCTCAGAGAAATGAGCAAGAAGTTTGTTATCACATAAATGGTGGAAGAAATAGAGGTTTAGTTTAAACCTTGGGGCTGTTACATATAGATGGTTTGATTTGTAGCTTCTGCGGTAG